ATAATTTATTTATTTAAATTGATAACACTAAAATTAATATAATGGGATCAATATATCACTATATAATTAAAATGTTATAATTCTCAAAATATAATAATGAAAAACCAATATCTAAAACAAAGAAATATCAATTTTACATAATCTTTTCTCTCTCTTGCATGATTGTAATGGAAATGTTAAAAATGGATTAAAATTACCAAGTTGTTGTAATGTTGCGGCCGTTGGCCTATTAGCTCCTAACCAGGTCGTTATATCGTGGACCGCGGTGCACGTGCACTGTGGTTAAAAAAGGCGTTGTTTCTTTAAGTAAAGAAATGGCACATCGTTAGTTTTAACGGAGTGCGCATTTTGTATATGTTAATTACCAACTGACACTTCAGTATATCTAAATTGACATTGTCTCACGTATTATTTTTATATTATCAAATGAAACTACAGTTATATCAAAATGATACTGTAGTTGTGGTGAAATGAAACTGCAGTGTATATAAAATGAAACTGAATAACATTTCACATTTTTGAGTGTACAATGGCAGTGCGGGAATTATGTCCAAAGTGGGCAGATTTCTTGTGCGTATCAGCATTTGGCCCTGTCTGCTGAACCATTGAGTCACTGTGATTTACAACTTCTCACAATGCTCTGTCGGGTCGGAGTGTGGGGGGCCCTTGGGGTTGGGGACTCAACCTTTGGGAGAAGAATTACCTATTTAAATACGCAAATTCAACCTTCAATTATCTATGCATGAACAATTTCAATATAATCCTACCTTAATATACTTTAAAGTACTTATATAAAAAAAAGCATTGGGCATTATCCCAATCGCGCAATGCGCGTAAAAAACTAGTTGTACAATAAAGCTGTAATATAATTATATCAAAATGATCATGTAGTTGTGTTTTAATAAAATTATAGTTTATATAAAATAAAATTAAATACTTTTTCATATATTTGAGTCTATAAATATCGAATGAAACTGTAGTTATATCGAAATGAAACTGTAGTTGTGTTGAACCGAAACTGCAGTTATACAAAATGAATATGAATAACAGAGTTACTTTTTGCGGAAGGGTGCGAAACGACTGAAAACAAATGTCGTTTCTTTTCATTAAACAAAACGACATCGTTTTGATGCGCGGTGCATAATCGATTACGCACCGCGGTGCACGATATAATTTGCCCTCCTAACCGGTGAGTTTGTAGGATAGATAGTACCAAAATATAGTTAACAGGAAAAAAGAATTGTAGAGAATAATATGCAAGAATGACCAAAACGGAGAGATTGACCTTTTCATTACAATTGTCAATATATATATATATATATATATATATATATATATAGAGGCGGGTTCAGGTGCTGCAGTGTCTTACGGTGCGGTTATTTCTTACAGTGCGGCAACACCAATAGTTCACCAAATATGCACCATCAACGTTAGGAAATACACCACACAAAACAGAGTAAACAGAGCCCTGCATCACCAAACACACACCATTAGGTGTGAGTAAAAACACCATACACTGTTCGGAAATACACCATTGGGGGTGGTGAGTTATATGGTGTGTTTTTTTGAGTCTGTGGTGTATTTTGTGATGTTTTATTACATTTCATTGAGGTGTATTTTTATTACACTGTTGGTGCATATTGTTAACACTATTGGTGTATTCTGGAATTTGACCCCACCGCCGCACCGTAAGACTCCGCCGCATATGAGCGCTCTTCTATATATATATATATATATATATATATATATATATATATATATATATATATATATATATATATATATATATATATATATATATATATATATATATATATACTAGTATTTTTTATGCGCGATGCGCAAGAAATAGGTGACCAATATTAGTATTTTATATTAAAAATTTATTTAGATTTTTTATATTTAAATAATAATAATAATAATAATAATAATAATAATAATAATAATAATAATAATATTAAATAATGCAGGGACCAAGCGACCTCAGAGGATTGATGTACAATCCCTTAACAAGACACCTATCCATAATTTTTATCAAAACTTTAATAAATGTCACGGTATTAATTGTTGGAATTTTTAGCTAAAAGTGACATTTTGAGTGATTATTTTGTGGTACAAAAATATGGAGGGTTTATTTCTGATTTGGGTCGGATTAAAGTGAATTCGGGCTCTTCGTAGTGAGACGAAGAATTTGATATAATGTACGCTCAAAATGGATAATAGGTGAATGAGAAATTGATTCCCAAAGTGAACATATTTGAGAGAAGTCAAAAACTTAAGCATTTTAATAACTTTCGTTGCACTACACACGAAAGTTGGGTTTATAAGCTTAAGTAGAGTTAAGCTTTGAAAGCTTAATTGTGAATTTGGGATTTTAGCACCTTTCGTGCTATGCTTTCATGCGGGACGAAAGTGCATGCAAATTAAAAATTTAATTTTAAGCTTTAGTTTCATGCTAAAAGTTGGAGTTGTGAGCTCTTTCGTGCTCTCTTTTCGTGAGCTACTTTCGTGCTGAGCACGAGTCAATGCTATATGCATTGATTCGTGCTGCACCGTTTCGGTGCTTGCGGACCACTCGGGTGTGATTTCCGGGCCAATTCATTAAACCTTCGGGTTTGTACGTGTGAGTATTAATATTATTAATTGCATTTATAATTGTATAACCTATGTTTAGTTTTCTATGGTTAGAATAAGTCTAGTGTCTGTATCCTATTAGATAGGAGTAGTTAGAAGTAGACTGAGATATACTCTCTTGTAATTCTATCGTTTGTTATTGAATTGATTTCCTGAATTCTCATCTGGTATCAGCCTAAACACGATCCTCCACCACAAAAACGCTACCCCCCTACCCATGTCGTTGAATTCTTCCGATCGTACTCCCTCGGCCGCTGGCGGGTCATCTCTGGCGAGTTCCAATCCCCTCGCCGGAGCTCACCACTTTATATCCATGAAATTGACTTCTAGAAATTTTCTATTCTGGAGAACCCAGCTATTACCGTTTCTTAGAGGCCAAGACTTGATTGGCTTTGTGGATGGCACCAACCCATGCCCGCCCGCGACCCTCACCACCGTGTCTGGCAATTCCGGCACCGGCACATCGACCACGACGACGGTCCCCAATCCAGCGCATAAATCATGGATGTTACAGGATCAATCGATCCTTTCCCTTTTGATATCCTCGATGTCAGATGAGGTGTTGCATCTCGCGGTTGGCCGGGATACCGCCGCCGACGTCTGGAGATCAATCTGCACTGCCCTCTGCTCCAACACGCAAGCTCGTTGTCTGAGTTTGCTGGGGCAATTTCAAGCGCTCAGAACTCCACGCCGGGCGATTACCTTCTTTTGGTAGAGGCACTCGCGCAAGCCGGACAGCCTCTCTCCATGGCCGAACAGAACCTTTATGTTCTGCGAGGCCTGAGGCCAGAATATCGTGCGTATGCAGCATCCCTTACCGCTCATGCGCCAGTCTCGCTCCCTCATCTCGCAGATCATCTCCAGGCCGCCGACTTCATATTGGCGGATGATTTCCGGGAGGCTGGCAGTGCGTCGCCGTTTGCGTTCTATGCAGGCCGAGGTCGCGGTGGTCGACATCACAACGGCAACACTAATCCGAACAGTGCAGATGGTGGCGGTGGTCGGCAGTCCCAGTGGCGTGGCGGCAGAGGTGGAAGAAATCAGAGGGGTGGCCGGAATCAGTGCGGAGTAACGCAGTGTCAAATTTGTAGGTCGCAGGGCCATACCGCGGTCTACTGTTATAAATGGTACACGACACAGCCGCCCATGCAAGCCCATGTTGCAGTATCCGGTGAGTCCCCGGGCACATCCGTACCGGCCGACACATGGTATCCTGACACGGGTGCCACGGCCCATGCCAATCCCGATGCCGGCATGATAACAGCCGCGGAATTTGGTATCAGAGCCAGACCAAAGGTCATGGGTTCGAATCTCAGCGCCACTCGTAAGCGACTACGGTTTACCGGTCCACGTGTTGCTTGGAACCCACCGCACACGTGAGGGGGCGTGTGAGCATATAGTCATTAACGTGCAATCCAACTATAAGCTTAGGCTTTTAGTTGAGATGGAGCACATGCTTCAATTTCTCATCCTACGGACTTCTCGGTCACTCAGGCATTTTGAAACAGGTCACTATGGTCGGTACGAATTAATCGCGTATTAAGTTCGTGACCGTTGGTATTATTACGATAATAAGTATGACCGTTTCAAACGTTATTATCCAATTATTAAATTGAATTTATGGTTGGTTAATGGTCATTATTAGGCTAATTATTCACTCCTCCCTACAAATAGCTTAGGATGTTGGCAGATAGTTTTTGGAAGAACATTCTAGTTGAAACTCTCAAAAATCTTTCTTTTGTTTTCTCTCATCTCCCATCCCGTTTACAAGAGAAAAGTTGTTTTGCCAACATCTTCCATAAAACATCGGAGTGCTCAACTTGTGTTCTAGTACGCCGGGCTTTGGGTTGGAGTGCTCGAACGCCAAAGTCATAGTCCGTTTTATCCTGGGAGACTGACGTCACAACGATCCTAGCACCCTCGGGAAGTGGCGAATCGGTTTTAAGGATAGTGTGTGTACACACGACTCGAGCTTCTTCTGCTTCTTCTTCTTCTTTCTCATTGGGTTAAAACCTCAGGTTAGAAACTCTTTCTTGTTTATATATTTGTTCTTGGTTTCGTACCAAAGTGGTGGGATTAATCTCGTAAGGATTAAATCCCTTGTACTAGTTTTGTACTAGTTGTGGTGGGATTAATCTCGGATTAAATTCCTTGTACTAGTTTCGTACTAGTTGTGGTGGGATTATTTTTGATAAATTAAATCCCTATTTGGTTAATATATATACGTTGTATATATATGTAATTTTGGTTTCGTACCAAAATTGGTTGGAATTAATTTTCTATAAATTAAATTCCATTTTTTGGGACAAATATATATTTTATATATATTTTGTGTATCGATTTATTCATCAATATCCAACATTAATTTTATAATATTATATTGTAGTACACCTAGCCCATCCATTAAGATATACGCATTAAGCCCGCACGAGCTTAATTTAGTGATTTAGTAGGCAGTATTTGAGGCAAGATATATCCATTAGAGCTGACCACAATCAAAAAGAGCATGGGATGCTCTATCCCTAAACAGAATAGCTAAGGTAAAGCCAGCAACCATCTTTCTGAGTGGGGATGTGCTCCCCACAATGACACCAATGAGATAAGTGAGAGTGGACAATCCCAAAACCGCATTCTCCTTTCCTTCACATATTGATCCAACCCGGCTTCCATTCTCGCAATCTTTTCCTTCTTGCTGTTTCCTTCAATCCCACTCATTGTCATGCTAAGACATCTCCCTAGAACCACCGCGTCTTCTAGCCCGGAGGCGCCACCCTGCCCTACGAAAGGGCCCATCACGTGCATTGCGTCCCCCGCAATAGTAATCGTCCCTTTATGCATGCTCCCAAGGAGCAATTCCCATGGTGCACGATACCTCAAGTGCGCGGTGGACAGAGAATCCAAGTCCGACAATTCTATTGTTTCATGTATGTTTGAAGGGAAGTCCTTTATTATCTCTAAGGTCATCTGTTTGATGTGTTTTGGATCATGTGGGAACTTATCTCCTGTCAATCACATTAGATTATAATAGAAAAGTGAGATCTGGTATCAATTGTCTATCGAGATTCATCCATGGTTGAAGATTTTAGTAACAAATTAGTGAAGAACTAATTTATACCTGATAATAAGTGCGTTGGAAGGGCCACAAACCAATGGATCAAAGTGTTGAGTAATTGGAAGCATTCCAATCCCAATTTCTCCTTTTCTAATTCGGCGAAATTCATGTGGTATTGAATGAGCATTTGGGTAGGTTGTTAGGCCCCTAATTGCACCAATATCAAATGCCCTTGACGCCTTCAACCCTAGCAACCCTGCCACTTTTGACCTCCCTCCGTCACACCCTATCACAATTGTCATTCATAAACTCATCAAGCTTTAACATGTAACCAACAAATTTAATTTAAAAACAAACTAAAAATTTATATTTTAATGACCTACTTTGACACCAATTGACGAAATCAAATGTTTATCACCATACTAAAACTATAGCTAATTATATTCTTCAATAATAATAATAATGTAAAACATTTTTATAAATTTGATATTTATTTTTAAAGAAATAACTAACATATAACCCCAATATATAATGTGTATATATATTATTATTATTATTGAAGAATATAAGAAAATATATGGTGGATGCATGTACATAGTAACAATAGTGGAAAAAATAACGAAAATTATAACGGTAGAGGCATGTTTGTCCAAAATATTGTATAGTACAACTTTTATAGCATAATGTATCAAAAAACTTAACGGAAAAAATGAACATAAATGAAGGGAATAACCTCCATTTGTGTGCGCCAGTACAGATAATTGCGGTGATTGAGTTTGAGTGACACAAAATGGTGTGCACTCGGTAAAGAGTTCGGAGGATTTGGGGAGGAGATGGAGGTGGTGGTGATCGTTCTCTGGGAGCTTGGCGACATTGTCGAAGGAGGGAGAGAGAATTGGATCCTAGGATTCCTATTGGCTAACTGATAGCAGATGAGAGTGGAAACGATTAACTCAACTGAATAACAGAACAGAGATTACAAATATAATCTTAGGAGAGAGAACTAACTATCAGACTAAAGACTAGATCTCTCACTAAGCTACAACAACAATATATAAAACTGTTATAAATATATTTAGTGGACATCATTTGTAACAGACATAACGGATGCTTTGATTGCTCATTATGTATATTTATATCCTTTGTATTATATATAGATGACACACCTTGTATCATGGTGTAGAGATGAATAAGATGATCTGCTTTCCCTCTCCATTCTCTATTTCTTCTTCTCCTTGTTTATATTATACAACACGTTATCAGCACAATGTCTCTTGAGTTCGTGAATTCTTGTTATTTTTTTCCGATGCCATTCTGGTGAATGATTACCGGCTTTACAACGCCACTTCATCTCCCAAACCGCGATCGGGACGCCTTTGCTGGAGTCCCATGTCTCGCCGGTGGTGCTGTGCGCTAAAGCCATCGGCGTCGAAGTGAAAATCAGCAGCGGCGGACATGATTACGAGGGGCTTTCTTACGTTTCCAACGACATCACTATAAAAGGCTGAAGCTGACAAAACAAGGGGTGTTGATCTCCCCTCCGCCGGTGATCCCGACGTCGTCACTTCCCTTCTGATGGTGGCCGATAATCTTTTTCCTCCCCATCTGAGGGCAATTTTTCAGACACTGAACATGAAGCAGACTCACCATATCTACTGCACGTAAATGGTGTCAACAACTCCAACAGGTAAACTAATCACGATTCATCCACAGTAGATTCCGGCGTTGGCTGGAATTTATTTTTTCTGCGTCATAGTCAATTCTGTGATTCGTGAAAATTCCCCATCACTGCCGACATCGTCTCCGATGAGTTCTCGTAACGGAACCGGAGAAGGCTGGAGAGTCGCCGCCGCTAGGAGAGGCAGCGCGAAGGCGGTAATAGTTGTGGCTAACGCCATCGCAATTATTGCGGTCGTTATACAAGCTAGTGGCGAAAAAAAAAACGGATCATGGGACCATTAATCCGAGGAAGAAGAAACGGAAAAATATTATATTGTGTACTCGGGATTACACTTCTTAGCATAGAAATACAGTGAAAATCAAATCAATGGTTGGAAAAACATGCTAGAGTTTTGATAATACTCTGGCGAGATTAGGGAGTTTGGCCATACCGACAAATGTGCCCGAGCCAAATCAGATCGATGGCGTATGGATCATCTTTTGGTTCAAGAGAAATCTCCATGCGACATGTATGCATATGCAATGATATTCACCCAGCAGATTAAAGCTAAGTACTCTAATCTTTTTGAAATGATATTAAAGTTTTGAATATTCAAATTCTGTGCCATCATGAAGTATTATATATGCAATGTATCATTTTGATGATGCTAATCTATCAATAACTTGATATATCTTTTGAATAATATTGCATATAGCTTTGTCATAATGCGAATATAATTCAAATGCCATGAAAGCCATATACTTTTCAGCTGTGTTCATGCCACAGAATGACAAAACTTGTATGTTATGAGTTTGTTTTATGCTTGTGAGAGTATGATACTACTTTTCTACGCCATCTTTGCCAGTTATTGAAGCTGATGCTTCCTGATATAGGAGATGGTGGTGGATCAAGTTTTTTCAATGGCTTCCATGTCTATTTAATGCATTGGGCTACATGCCTAACAAAGCTTTTACAATGCACCTCTTGAATGTTGAATTTATTTGCATAAAATTTGAGGCATGCCTGAAACATTCTGATCGGCACAGCTTGAAAATTAAATTCGTAAAAAATACTTGTTGAACTCCTTTTGGCATGAGTTTTTTTCTGGAGAACCTAGACTTGTGGTATTTGATATCTATGAAATGATTTTCTTAAAAATACGCTTCGGTTGTTCCAGAAAAATTCTGTAAAGTTCTGGCAGTGTGATGCTAGTTATTTTTCTGTCTGGCGCAGTGTTGGAAAATATTTTGGGAAAAATACTTCTAGACCTTGGATTGGCATGAAAATTTTCATGTATGTTCTAGACTTGCTGAACTAAATATCTGCAAAATTTTGTGCCAAAATATGTTACCGTGTTTCCCCAGAAAATTCTGCAATCCAGGTCAAAATTCTGAAATTTTCTGCCAAGTTTCAGTTTAGCTTGTATATCTTGCTATTTTGTGAAGTTTTCATACTTGTATGAAACTATGAGATAAAATGAGAGCTTGCTTGCAAAAGCGCTGTTTTTGACTCCCCGAAATAGGAATGGATGGGCCCGGCAGCGAACATGTGCTCGTTATCCTTTGGCGAACAGTACTTCTCTCATTTTATTTTCTAATTTATGAATTAATAGAATCTCTTTTTTTCATGTCATGCATTGTGTGTACCACACATGATACCCTTTGTTTAAAGTGAATGTGCATGACTTAATTGAGATTTTGGTGTCCATGACACAAGGGACAATTATATCACATATTGAATATGCTTATTTTTAATTGACAATATTTAGCATATAATCTCTCGATTAGGCTCATATAAGAGAATTTGTTATTTCTCTTGTTGGCAATTAATTATTTGCTATAGGCCATAACAGTTGAGATTTATCACACAACTTATATGTGAGACAATAGTATGAATTCTCAATAAGAGTTTTCATTGTTAGGTTGCACCTGTCGTTGCTAAACCTTAGTTTGATCTTGATATGAGTCTAAATATTGTGATATATAGCATAAATATTGAATATAGCTTTGCCCAATAAGCTATAGCTTTACCCAGAAGGCAAAATTGTTGTTGCATTGATATATGATAATAGCACCAGGACAAATTCCCCAAATGTAAAATTGACTTGGTACTGATATTAAAAAGTCAATTGTTATTTGTCCAAATTCAAGTTTATTGGTTGCGCTAATTTATTATAGCATTATTTCGCATGAGTCTTTGACATTGAAATAAATCTCAAATTTCAGTATTTAAACAAGATGATAGTGCCTAAGCTTTAATATAGTTTTGCCCAGAAGGTAAACACTAAGAGCACTAGTTTTTATTGTCACCCTTTGTCGTAAGCCCTCTATTATGAATTTTTTGATCGGAAAGGATCCCTGAAGGATTACCATGAGTCTATAATATATAAATTATAAATTATTATGATCCCCCAATGCATACAATGCATGATCCGAACAATTAATTCATGGTTATCTGGAAAGTTAATTATTGAATTTTACTTCTCGAAGTTCACTTCCCAGATTTTACTACTTGGTTTTTACTTTCCTAATTTTACCTCCCGGATGTTATCTTTCGGATGGTACATGAATTCGTTGTACTCCAGTAGAAGTACATGACCAAAACTATTATTAAACATTGTCATGTATGATAGTCACATGGTACTCCAGTAGTAGTACATGACAAAATTATACTAAGTGCTTTGAGTGTCGTCGATTTTTTTTAAAAGACAACAACACTTAACTTTTGTGGAAATATACTCTTTGAGTTTTAAATCTTCACTAATTGACAATGTGTTTGGTCATTGGGATATTTATCTAATAAGGTCTGGAAGACCTCTAATGAGATTGATTTTTGGATGACTAATGACTCATGAATGAAGTCTGCAACTTCTATTTTTTAATGTTATGTTACTCTGCAAAAATGCTATGTGATTGATAGCCAAAAGTGAATCACATCATGTTGGTTTGCGTAAAGCAAACAAATTGTGAATATTTGATGATGATGCCTCATCATAAATTGAGAAAATGATTTTTTGAGATCCTGAATGATCTCACCATCTATACATCTATATGTCGTTTAACCTATTTAAGATGGTTGTGTACTCGTATAATCTCATTTAATCAATATGTATGCTTTCTTTATTTGGACATATATGATTGCATATACTTTTGAGTACTTATATGTTGCGATTCTTTTAAAATTTTAACGACCCATTTAAAAAAAAAAAAAAAAATTATGGCATGAACAATTGGGTCCCTTAGGGCAAACATAATGAGTCAGATATTGGAATTTCTAAGCATGTGTGAATAAGAAATTACCAAATTATCTATTTTTGGAGATATTTGTATTAATTCAAATCTGACTCATTGCATATCGTAACTATTCCCCCATGCACATAGTACATGGTAGAATTAAACATTTCCCAATCTGTGTTTCTATTCTTAGTATGCAGTTCATTTTATTGTATCACCACCTTAGCGTATCTCTGTGGGCTATAAATCTCTGTCTGTTGTTTAAATACCTAGAGCCCATTATAGGGGATCAATAGATACGTTGACTGCATACTTAATTAATGAAGATCGTTTATTGGCATTAGGGGGAGATAA